TATAAAATTAAGATTAATAATTTACATGAGATCATTATTATTTTCCAATTTAAGTGTTGCTAGAATTAAAGTTCCTATCATGTATTTAAGTTTCTTCTATTATGTTGATTATCATAAATCGGAAGCTACTCGTATTTATACTAGACACCCAAACGACCCTTAAAATCATATGTTTGAACATGGTATGGGGTAAAATGACCCCGACCTATGTCTAACGAGTTTCAAGAAATGGATGTGAGCATTGTGAAGTCACTGAAGTGTGAGACACGCATCCAAGAGGAGTTTGACAAGTGTTTTAAATTAAAACGTATATCATATAATTGAGCACATGTCTCAATAAATGTATGTATATATCCAAGGAGTGTCCTTGAAGTTGTACGGATAGGTGTTGGGTACGTGTCGTGTATGGGTACAGCTTCACCGGTAGAAGTACCTGAGTAACATAGGTGACTATATTCTCAATTCAATGGATCTTGGATTATCACTTTTCTGCAAAGAAATGAGGGGCATGAAATTCAATCTCTCAAAATTGATGTTCTTTTTAGTTGAGTACTGTAACCTATAAGACAGTTATTTTAGCCGTCTCATAAACTTTGCTTCAGCTAACTAGCTGGAACCAACAACACAAAGCATGCTTCACCTTGACCATCTTGTTCTGTTCTGTAAACATTATCCTCCTTAATATTGTCTTAAGAGATTGAGAAGGATGATGCCAGAGTTGGAGGATGGTTAAAGTGGAGAAGTGGGTCTAGTCATGAAACTATACCAGACGACTAGAATAAAAGGAACGGAAAAGTTATCTCAAATGAACAGTTTCAATACTTTTTGACCATTTCAAGCTTCGGCATGAGATTTCTATGTCACCTGAAAATTGAAATTGAACAATAAGTATCATGTTGACTGAGATACATGATTGGTGACAAAATGTTTATACTGAATGGTGTGGAACCATAAAGTTGCAATAAACACAATTTCGGATAACTTGATATATATGACCATGCATAAATGAGTCCCACTGCTGCCACAAATCTTTTAGCATTTGTAAAGAAGTTACAGATCGTCCTGTAATGGATACAACAGGGCAAACTGATTGAGACACAGTAGACACAGATTGAGCACCCTTTTCATGGGCCAAACCTCGACTCACACTGCGGCATCTTTTTTTTTAAATCAACTTCAAATATGTGGCCAGTTTGACTTGAAACTGGACTGCTATGATACTAAGTCAAAGGTTCCTTCCACAGCACTAAAACTTCTAAGATGTGCTGAGGTTATATTTTATACTTTAACACAGTTTAACAAGCTAGAATATTAGCCAGAGAAATTGTTTAGAATAGAAACCATAAAAAAAAGAGAAACGGTTAGGAAACAGTCCCTACTTTCCCCATTCAGAAGGTGCATTCCAGGCAGCTAACACTGTATCAGACTTCGAATTTTGCAGGCAGTTTCTCACAACAAAGGATGTCATAGTGAACAGACAAACGCCCATATCTTTGTAATCACGATCAAAGTCAAAGATCTGTCAATAGAAATATTAAAAATAAACAATTTCACAGTTATGAAGCAGAATGTAGATCCAACATATGGATTGTGCGAGATAAAAATTCTTGATTTTATGATCATTACACAGGACGACTACTTAAAAGATAAAATCAGTTCAGTTACTTGAAAATCTTATTCTTAAGACTAAAGTTCTCAACGAAAGAAATAAAACATTATCAAGGTCAAGAAAGCCAAAATACTACACATAGGCCACTGTTGTTTTTGTGTTTGATCTACAGTGGAACTTACTGAATTTCGGTTGGATCTAAATAATCAGTATAAGCTTGAAGTCTGAGGTTGTGTTTAGGATAAACTTCTATTGGAAATTGGATGCAATTGCTAGAAAGGACTACAAGAACATAACAGGTGAGGACCTGGTCATGAGTTATTAAGAGAAGGCTCTGTTCCCAATTTGACCCCGGAATCCTTCTTATCCTTTGAACTATTTTTAGTCCCTACATGCCCCCCTAAACTATGAATTTGTTCCATGATTGACCCCTGAACTATTTGTTGTCTCACCTTTCCCACTAACACCTGCTTATCCTTGATCTATCAGATTCAGTACCTAGTTACCACTTATGTCCATTACTTTGTCAGTTTTTTATATGAGTTTATGAGAGAAAAGTGATAGTTCAAGGGAAAAGATGGAACTCAAAATAGTTCAGGGGCAAGCAGAAAACAAATTCAATAGTTTAAGGGGCAAGTAGCGACTAGAAATAGTTCGGAGGTAAGAAGGGACAAAACTAATAGTTCAGGGAGAAAGTAGGGACTGTCTCTATGAAACTCTTACCATGTAATACACTGCCATGAAACAGGTTGCTGTTACGGAAAACCAGACACAAAGCCACAACTACATATGTTTACTTCTCCTGAATGTATGCAACTTATACAAATATATATAGCGGGTCCGTACTTATATGTGAAACCTAATTTAATAAAGTGATTCCAAAAACAATTAGCTATTTTCAAAGGGACATAATATTCTATGTTAAACATAATTGTTAAGATGCATAATAGTTTGCATATGGTAAGTGTTACCACAGATAAAAATGTGTTTTGTGTCCAGGTGTATAGTCTTTGTCACGCCCCAGGCCTGCAATCACGTTGGCGCTGTGTAAGCCGTGGGACTCACTGAGTATAGCGCTTTGTTTGGCTCAAACCACTACCAAAATCGACTAGCCGATGCTATACTTGAGTCTTTGGCTTTACTCTTTCAACACTTATTTTTCTCCCACTGGCCGATGTGGGACTAACATTGGGGTGTCACACTTTGGTTGAAGAAAGTGTCCTATATCTCAATAGTTCTCAATGTCATCAGTGTCCATGCATGACCATTTAATACATCTATTTGGTATTGTGATACATATTTATCTTCATCATGACAAATATTATTTAGTGAATGAAAGGTATTGCAAACTATGTTATCAAATATATTTTGAATTTATTATTGATATTACATTCATGGAAGAGTTTATATTTGATGAAAGTATTTACTTTACCGTCAATTCATGAATATTCTATTTTCATGAAAGAGGTATGATAATTTTATGAAAGTGCTAAGCATATTAAAATGCTTTTCGTACAAGCAGAAAGTACAAAGTGATATTTTAAGTGGAAAAGGAATTCTTTTAAAATGTTAAAAATCTTTGGAAGTCCACTATGGAATGATTTGATATGTTTACACCTCCCCTATGGTATCGAGCATATGAATACTGAACTTTTTGGCAAAAATGTGATGTGGCCATTTTGGAAAAAAAATGTGATATGGTTTCTGGGTGCCTTAGAGTGATTTATGCGTGTTTTCATGCTACTGGGCTATAATTTTTGTAGCCTTAGTGTAACAACTTAGCGTATTTTGCAAAATGTGATATAAATACATTTACAATATAGACGTGTTTGGTATTTCTTTTTGCTTTGTTTTTTAAAATTTATTTGGTGTTATATAACACTGTCGCATGTTATATATGTTACAAAATTTATTTTATTCAATGTTTAATACGTTTCTAGATTGTTATCTTAGTTTGATAGTAGTTTATTTGAAAGTTTTAGTATTAATAATTTTTAAACTTGTTTGATCCGCAAATGATAACTTGTCTGCTCATTGAGTGTAATTACCTGTTGTTTTCATTGTTTTCTGATGCAAATTAGACTTGCAATATCTTAGCTTGGAGGATCGGAACTTGTGAATATTATGACACGATGAAATTGTAGCTATCCTAGATAGATTTATATCGTTATGTAATAAGAGTTTATTGACCTACTAATTGTATTGCTTTGACTGTAGCTTGATACGAAGTAGTCTTCGGTGAGATTTCTATATATCAACGAAGTTCCTTATATAAAGTCGTATTTGTACTATGGAAGCACAAATCATGCTCAGCACATGCTCTTGCACATGTCGCCATTATCATGTATCCCCATTTATGATGTGCATTTGGGGGTGTGACATCATGTATGTCTGCATGTTCCCAAACCTCCACATTGCCTCCCCTATGGCTGCATCCTCCACCTTCAGCGGCAATAATGAGTACCACAATTGTTCTCCGCTGCATTCTCGAGCAGGTTCATACAGTCCTTGTAGTCTTTCATGGTGTTGGTCACATTTTATGTTGGTGGGATTTCAGGATTTTGTTGTAAACGAGGATTTCGCAGTGGTGGATTTCAGCATGGAGAAGCCACTGGTGGTGTGAGTTACATGAGGTGGAGGAGCCTGTTTGTGGATAGTGGAGGAGTGGAGGGGAGAGAGAGGAAATGCAGAGAGAGGAATAAGAAGTGGAGCTGTAGCTTGTTTTGATGAAGGTTGTGGCATGAGCTGGGGGGAAGGAGTGGACGCTGGTGAGGAGGGAGAGGTTTGAGAATGCTGATGGTGCCACAGACCGATATACTTTTCCAAATCATCCAAATTTGCTAGAGGCCTTTACATGATGGAAGACCACGTGGCTTATATATGTGCATGCATGTGTTTGTCTGTGTCTTTTCTTTTCTTTTTTCCTTTTCTTTTGTTTTCCTTCTGTTTCCCTTTATTATTATTGTCATCATCATTATTTATTTCTATTATCATTCTTTTAGGGGGGTGCGAATTGCTTAATATACAACAATGACCCACAAGCATAGGAAGAAATTCTTGGTGAGGTGATTATCTCACATGTTCAAAAATATACTTTTAATTCCTAATATGTTGAGGTAACATTAACAAAGATAAAAGATACTAGTTAGAAAGTACCTACAAGATAAGAGATGTAATTTTTACTGCGTACATGACTTTAAGCATTAAAGATGTAAATTTCTAATACACAATAATGCATAGTTTTAAAAATATATATCACATAAGAAGCAAAGAGAGTATCTTAAGCGCTATTTAACCATTTGTAGACCAAGATCTTTTGTCAAATATTCAAGAAGGCTCACCATATTGTTTATCTCAGTTTCAGCAAAGGATTTACCGTCTGCAAGCATGCTCCACACTACCTTGCTGATTCTCAGGGAAATACTCATCGCAAAGGAAGGGCTTTTGTTCTTTTCTTTCTCCATTAATCGTAACTGTGAAGCTTTCTGCAGAACCAATCTCAGAGTGGAGGATGCAGCTTTTCGAGAGGTTTGTATACTACCCAGCTCTTTCCTCAGTCTATTTACCTGTGTACATGTTGGTAGCTGTAAATTCTTTGCAGTAGAAAATGTAACTTCATCTTTTCTGTATCAAAGTGCCAGGAAGAAGGAGAAGAAAACAAAATTCATCCAAACTTCCTTTAAGTAATGTGACATACCGTTAAGTCAGAATGATCTTGTCTCCTAATCTTGATTGATGTGTTGCAAGAACTTATTAGTATTTCAAGCAAGAAGATAATTGGCGAATTGTAAATACCAACATGTACACAGGTAAATGCATCAAGATATGGAATTCAAAGGACATATAAATATGCTTTAGATAATGTGAATATAACTGCCAGACCTAGAACAATAGTGCAAAATTTTCTCAAGAGAAACACAACCACCACATATGAAGATAAATACTAGATCAATTCAAATGCCTATAACAGGAAAAAGTCAGCATCCTACCAGTATTGATTTTCCACCAGTAATCATCCACAATTCACCATCATTTTCTGAACATGCAGTCTCACTAGGAATATCACTACTAACTGATAGTGTCCTTATATCATTAAGGATTAACTTTCTTTCCCTTTCTTTTTGTTCAATGCTGATTCTCGCAAGTTCAACCTCTTCAACACCATCTGGAACCACCTCATCAGCTTCCTCTGCATCATCATCATCATCATCATCACTCGTACTTTTACGAGGTCTGGAAAATTGGATTTAAAATAAAACAGTTGTTATTAGTAACTATATTTTCATTGATGTCATTAACTAATTACCAATGACATCTATTAAGGGCAACTAGTGTTACTACGCATAACATAGAAGGAACAGGATTACAAATATTTTATGTACACATAGGATATTGATTATTACATACATAAGAAAAACCTAATTACTGAAGCTAACTGAGGCTAACAGACGTATGAAGTAGTCAAGTTCAAGAAAAATACTGCTGGCAAATCATTGTTGTGGCAAAATGCAGAACTTAAAGTACATAGAGCAATTAACATTTGGTGTTTAACTTTCACATTCTAGATATAGCACATTGTAAACATTTTCAAGATGAAAAGTATTTGGTGTATTAACTGATCATCATCTTCATCAACAATAACACTGAAGATTACTCTTCCTAAAGAAGGCTCCGGAGAACAATTCACTGTTATCATCATAAGTTTGCATTTGAAGCAAAATATGTTAGAAAACTGTATTATTCTTGAGATAACTAAAGGGGATCACATGAATGGAGATTTGTTGAGGGGAATTATTTAGATATAAGGAAAATAAAAATAAAATAATAGATGCAGATGTTGAAATTGCACGCATTATTTAATAACAGCAGCATGTGTGCAGGAGGCCATACTACGCACAATATTTTCATTGCATGCTTTTAACAGTATAGTTAATAGGTCTACTAGGTTAAGTCCATTAGAGATTATAACAGGTTGTGAACCAAGAAAACCTATAAACTTACTTTTCATGACATAAGAAGTTAGACTCGGTGCATTAGCCAAGTCTTCTGCATAATATTTTTGTGCCATGCAAAATGAGATCCATAGGCGTATAGCAATAAGTAATGATAATTACAAGTTTTCTGAAGATTCTCATAGACGATTGTCGAAGTTCTCAGCTAGAGACATGGCTAAGCTTAGGATTCGACGTAAGAGGTTCCCCATAGGAATTGTGGGGAAACTTCATGCTACGTACTGTCCATTTAGATTTGTGAGAAAAAAGGTCCTAATGCATGTGAGCTGGACAGTGCATGAGATGTTAATATCATCTTGGAATTTTGCATCGAGTATTTGACTCCTTATCTTGCACCAGTGGACATTATTGTCAAAGGCCGACTTGGCAACCACCTAGGCATTTGTGGCCCCCAGGCTGACTTGTTTTGGCCTAGGCGCCCCTGTCCACATGGTGGGCACGCCTAGGCAGGCGTTAATCCATACAAGAAAAAACATTGCAAGTGATTCACCTCAAAGATTTTTTTTTAAAGAACCTATTAATCCAAACAAAATAACTTAAAACCCAAAACTCGTAACTTATACATCTAAACCCAATTACTTAAAAACAAATCCAGTAACCTAAAAACTCAACACGTTTTACTTATAAAACCAAACCCATTTAATTTGAAACCAAATTCAAATTACAATCCTAAACCTCAATTGTGATCTATTTTCTTTTTCTCCGCCCATTTTGATCATTTGCTGCTTCTCAACAAAGAAAATCCCCTCAACCTCCTCAAGCCCTACTCATCAAGATCCAAACACTCGATGCTTCCTCAAGTCCTTTCTGCCTCAAGGGCTCATAATGCCTCTCACCGCCTTCTCAGAAAAAAATGCTAGGTGGTGCCTAAGCGCCCGATTAAGTAGCCAGGGCTACGTGCCGGGTTCGGCTTCGACACCCAGAGGCACCCAACATCTTATGTAATGTTGTTCATGGACTAGCTACTATCTTTCTAGAGTTTGCATCCTCGCCTTCAGTGGGTTAACAACATATTCTAGTTCCACAACCAATGCAGCAGAGGAGACATCCAATAGAGATCAAAGACATTTTGCAAGATGAGATTGTATTGACAACAAATGGTTAATTTCAGAGAAACCTAGTCCATTTGTGTAGAAGACGCAATGCATAATGCACTTGGCTACGGGCCGAGGAGATTGAGCAATTCAACCTGGATGCTCTTAATGCTTATTATCTCCATCATTTATCGTCGTTTATCAGAGACGAATGTTTCAAAGTCAGAGAGAGTTGACAGAAATCAATCCAAGAGCTAATCTAGAAGAAAGAAGATCTTTTGAGATTTTTAGGATTTTAGTTTGATTTTCTAAAGTTTTTAGGATTTTAGTTTCCCTTTCATGTTTCTTTAATTAAGATTTCATTAGTATATTGATGGTTGTTAGCTTTTCTTTTCTATAAATAAGACGTAGCGTACTCAGGACCCAAAAATGGGACAGGTCCATGGGACAGCTATATGGACATGCCTACATGTCAATTGCAGCTAGCGCTATTAATGAAAATTAATAACAGACTAAGGGTATTTCTGTCAAAGAAAATTCTAATTATTTCTTTGCTAACTATGGTAACTAAATAGTTAAACCCTCATCCTTTCCCCTGGATCCTTAAACTTGACTGCATTGGATCGTGTAATACTCTCCATTAAGCGACGTTCTACTGCATCTCTTTCACCCATCCACACCAAAGCTCTATTGCTGGCTAAGATCTCTCCATTGACAGACCTCGTTTTCAACTCTTTCACCCATCCACAATAAAAGCTTCACAATTATCTATGGCCGACGGAGATCTCGCAATTGACAATCCTCGCCTCTTCGCTGGTCATCAATCAAAGCTTTTATTCTTATTCTTTTATCAACCTGACACAATGTTTTGTCCTTCCATTATCAAGTGTCTTCAAGTTCAATTACACTTATTGTTACTAGTCAGTGAACTAATCAAAAAATCAATTTGGTTTTTGTATGATTCTGATTGCTGTCTAAGACCAAGGAAAAGAGAAGATGTGCAGAAAGATTGAAGGACAAATAATACGAAGGAGAAGAGAATGAACAGCAAGAAAATAAACTAAAAAATTCCAGAACTACCCCTAGTCAATTGCTCCATATGCCCAGCCTGAAATTAGAAAATACGTAATAAATTAAAAAGTTTCTTTACACGTCAGCCGTCCCTCACCTTGGTCCCATAATTTGGATCCAAAAGTAATTATTCTAAGATGTATGATTGTATAAGCCTCCGTTTAGGAGCACTCTTGACGATAAAGAGTGATATTTGAGATTTAGTTTTGAGCATTTTCAGTTTCTTTCTTTAGCATGTAATTTGCCTTGGGTGTAAGCCCACAAATTATAAATTCCTTGTTTTATCCTAGCCAGTGATTACACCCCAACCCCCACCCCCACGCCCTTCTCAAACTCAACCATCAACAAACAAAACCCAACTCCTAAAGCTTACAACTCTCAGGCACAGCTCCAAATTCCTAACTCCCGTTATTGTTCACGTGTCTTCACCATCATGACTCCCTCATGAACTAACCAACCTGATTCTTCCAGTCACCCCAGCTCATGCCAAGCACCCAACTCTGAAACCTCACTGCTGCCTCCTCTCTCCATAGCCGACAATCTTACCTTCAACAATGCCGATCAACTTCCTGACTTTTCTAATCTTGATCCAGCCTCTGACAAAGTCTGATAGGACTCGTCAAGGCCTAACCCCACGTTCTGACTGAGCCCGATGACACCATCTCGAGCCTCCAGCTTCCAATGGAGTTCTGTCATCTATCCTTGACCCGACGAAGCTTCCAAATCCCTCTCCCTCCCACAGGTGACAAACCTTCATCGATTCCAATCCGCGGCTTCGACTACTCCTATCCCCGTCTGGAAGATCAGATTTGACTCAATTTTCTCTTATTTGATCTTAATGGGGTTTAATTGTCATTTATGTCCTCAGGTGCTTGGTACTCAATCCCTTTGTTGGTATTTGTTGATCTTCAGAATCTGCAGAAAGATCTATATATACTTGCAGAGGAATCAATTAAATGTTAGATCGTTACTAATTTGTGTGATTGATGTGAGTCCCTCAACAATAATTATATAACCCAGATCACAAATTTAATTGTAGATTTCCGCGGCTCTATAAATTTGTAGGAAACTAGTAAATATATTTGTCTATTTCTGTATTCTGCATTTTCATTGCTTGAATAACCATTACATAACCTAGATTACATTACATTTTAGTATTGACTAACAGGATAGCATTTAGAGTGCATGCATGTTAGTTGGTATCTAGGTTTATTCTCATCTGTGTGATTGATTGGAGCATTTACAAAGAGTGCATGCATGTTAGTTGGTATATAGGCTTGTTCTCATCTGTGTAATTGATTGGTCTCATATTGCATTAAAAGTCCCTAGTGCTTTGTCCTGCATCAGGTAGGCCACATGAACCTATTCCTCCATTCAGCTCTATTATGGGTCATCCCTGTCAAGTTCACTAATTTCACACTTTCCTTAATTGCTTCCGAGTTCCAACTAAGTTCTTTAAGGTCTACTCCTAGTCCACTTCGACCCTATAAATTATAATATTATCACTTCTCCTAACTATTTCTAAGAGGAACGGTAGATAAGAATTAAATGAAGGAGAGAAAATGAGATGGTGGGAAGGATGTGGACACTACAACGAAACTAGGAGAGAGACCAAAAGGAAAAAAGCTAAGAGAAGGAAGACAAATTAGGAAGATTCGAACATTAATGTAGATGATGGGTAAAAGTTTGCACAATGTTGATCCTGTCCTCATCTTCTCGTGTACAATCCAATTACTAGAATCTCAAACTTATCACGTAAAGATCTGATGGTTATAAATGATGAAGCTGTATGCATTCACAGACACATGATATACATACATTAATACATATGCATATTGGATAAGAAGTTATATAGAAATATGAATGGATGTTGGGCATGTAACTGCATCATGTGTGTAGGAGGTCATACTTCGGAAGTCTGGCAAAGAGAAGATTGCTTAGCACATCCATCATAACCTGAAATTGGCGGGATGTCATTGTTGCTGTAATATTAGGAGAATTGAACTTCAACTCCTTCAGAGGCTTCACCTGAGTAACAAAACAAAGTCTTTATTCTGTGAAGAAATTAAGAGAAGTTTATTTTAAAGGGAACTTAATATTTTAGGTTTGCTCCGTCATTAATGTTTGAGTGTGGTCAATCTACCTTCAATTCTGGCGTACCACCTTTGTGCCTAGTGTAGCGGAAGTACATTTGACAGGGCATAAATACTCTTTCAAGTAATGCACCTGTACGGTTTACTTTTGGTGAGCTCCTATGAATTTTGGGTAACCACTGAAGTCCAGCACCAGGGTCAACATCAGTTGGTGCTACATGAGCCTGAACGTGCTCAAGCATTACAGAAAGCTCCGCTCTTTTCCAAGTCACTCCTGGTTCAGTTTCTGAAATGGAGACACTGCCGGTACCAAGAGCTTGCTGGATCATCTCCGAACCAACATGGACAACTGAATGAAAGGAACGAGCCAAAATACGGCCACTAGCTGCTGCAAGCAGAAACCTGCCCTGATATATTAAAGAGTTAACTGTTAGCAATATAAGATAGATCTAGAACAAAATTATTACAATATATGTCACACAAAACTATCCAACAAAGTACACCAAGTGATTCAAATTCTTTAAAACTAAGCAGTTATGTGTACTAAACAAGCTTGAAGCTAACTGTTGCAGATGAAAAAGAAGTAGTAGCAAATATAAATCATAATTTTGTCAGAACACTAAATGTTCTGGTGTTGGTAAATATCTCTAAATAACTTCTCTTTCCATTGACAAGCACTTCCAAGCTTGAACAAAGGTTTCCAGTGGGGGACCCGTGGCACTGCACTTATTGAGATGGTTTCAACTTTCATGTTCATTTTAACTATTCAATCTCCCTGAGAAACAATTTCTTCCATAAGATCAAGAATTCCATATTAAATCATTCTGGAAGTAACTACATTTTAGCAGTGATGATCAAAAATAGGTACTGCTTCATCAGCATATTTGACATTAATATAGGCGGTCATTTACCCTATTAAGCACTAGGTTAGCTATGTGCGTGGGGAGCTGCAAAGATATGTGTCGTTGTCCAACTTTTTGAGGATTTACATGGCTTCAACTAAATGTTCCCGCTACAAAAAAATCTTTATGCAAATCAATCTCCAAATGAACCTCGAGAACAATCTTTACTAATCCAATCTCCAAAAGAGCCAATCTCAAAACTCAATAACCATTTCCAATAGAACATTCTCACTAGAACCAATAGAATAATCTCTCTGGCATCAACAGAACAATTTGCATCCAAACCAGTCACAAAATCTACGATAGGCGCACCAAACACCTTGGGTCCTCCACAACAGGAAAGGGTCTAATTATCTTCCCCTATACCATTCCAATGAAAAATAGCCAGTCTGCATCAAATTTAACATGATATCTGTGCCCAATGCCCATTGCCTGAGACAATTTTCCAGGCTACACCACCACAAAGTAAAACTAGAAGGTATTTCCCTCGAGCCCGAAACTTCAACTTTACTCTGTTCTTGAACCTCATGATTGCAATGATATTAAATCCAAACCAACTGCAGTAACACAAAGATTGTTTACAACCTGCAAGGGGCAATGACATCAATAGGAGTCACAAGTCAAACATGTGCAGGACCAACCACCTTGTAAGCAACCTCCTCGCTAACTTGCTTCATATCTCCCATGGTAAAGAGCAAACCTATGTTGTCAACTAGTTAGGTATGAAGGTCGAGGTAATTCTTGTTTTCGCTGATTTCTGCGTAGGACTTGATGAAACTCGGCTGTGAAGCATGCCAAGAAACTATCTTCCTGCATGGTGAGCAAAAGCAAGATCAAATAGAAACCACTACTACATAGTTCAAGGAAACAAAAGCATCGTCGTCCACAAATGTCAAAGCCATGAGGTGTGGGAGATGAAGCCTGTATCGAAACCCCCTTGGGGGCCCCAAGGTCGAGGAAGAAGAAATATATACTCTAAGATTAATAATAGGGCTCTGATACCATGCGAAAAAAAGAGAAAGAAACAAAAGCTCTTAATATTCATTTATTATTAAAGGGTGCAATATAATTTATACATACAAGTACTTATATCTATAGGAAGTCCTATGAAAATGAAACTCTAATAATAATAAGGGGTTTTTATCTTTTAACCCAAAATTTTACCCCCACTTATTTAAAAATCCAATCACTTCCATAAACACTCATACACCAAAAGTACCCCCTATAACTTACTTTTAACTCAATCTATAATATACCCTCAAACTTTATACTATATCTCCCAAAAAATTCTAAAATAGCCCTTTCCTCTCTTCTTCTAAACAACAATCATGCTCCAGCCCATCGCATATGGTGACGGCGGGAGAAATTTATTTTCATGCTCCTCTCACTCTCCAAACCCCAATTTAGTATACCCATCTTCTTCAAAATCTTTCTTTCCTTTATTAATGTCTTCTCTCTTTTTCAAAAATCCCTTTCTTTCATCAATATTTCTCCTCATAAAAAATGTTAATTTGGTTTAATTTGATTTCTACTTCCAATCATTAAATATCGCTTTTCTATAGTCCTAGAACCAAAAAAGAGCTATACTATACCAATGAAGATACACTTCAGTCGTAGAGAGTTATACTTTTGCGTAAGGTGCTATACTTTGCTCATAACAAGCCATGTTTTTGAATAAAGTGTTAATACTTTGATCAACTAAATATTAATAGCTCTTAAGCTTTCATATTTTTATGTTAACTAGTCCAATGGATTTTAAATATTCCTTTGTTTTTTCTCGCAATTTTCTTGACGACATACTACACACTTTTAATTTCCCTCCTGTACTCCCAGAATCAAAAAAGAGCTATATTATAAGGATGAAAGATACATCTTAGTTATAAAGAGCTATACTTCTTTATAAGGTGTTATACTTTGCTATACATCAAGCTATGTTTTTGTATAAAGTGCTCTATTTTGCTCAGCTTTCATGGATTTTAGGGATTGACTTCGCATAAAATTTAGAGATTGGCTCTTTGAGTTCGATGTTTTGTGAAATGAAGGAAGAGAAAAAAGAGAGAAACACAGTTTATTTGAAGAAGGGCAATTTAATTTTTGGGATTTTAGATTTTTTTAAATATAATATAAAGTCTGAGGGCATTACTACAAGTTGGGTTTATAAATAAGTCACATGGGGTACTTTGGGTGTGTGGGTGTCTATAGAAGTTTGTGGATTTTCAAATAAGTGGTGATAAAACTTGGGTTAAAAAGACAAAAGCCCTAATAACAAAAATAATAGAAAACTATAATAAAGAAAGGAAAAATTGTGTCAATGCCCTAAAAATGAAAACTCAATGGGCCCAGCCCCATGTATTATTTCCCATGTGCTTTAACTCCTTAAAACATGAAAAAATATGGCCTAGCCCCTCCATCCCATGACTACCTTTAATGTATATGTATTTCACCCTAAATTCCTAAATTATTCTTCTCTCTCCTACCATGTTATCCCCACCCCTCTCTCAAACACCAGCCACCGTTTCTTCCTCATCTCAACCACATCCAACTGTCTCCATCACAAAATCCTGTTGTCATCTTTATGAGTAACTCCCTTCCCCTCATTGTCGTCAACGCCACCGCCAACCGAACTCACCTCCTCAAGACCCCAAACCCACTCCTCCCCTGTTTCCACCAAATCTCCACCATCAATTTCTCTTTCACATTAAACCCCCCTCATACCCACAAACCCTAACCCTAATTCTCCTCCACCGCCATGACCTCCATTGTTCCTCCATCCTTCTCCTCCGTCGCCACACCACCACCAAAGAAATCATTGTTATCTCGCCTCCACTCCTACATCCTCTCCATTGCTATCCACCCTCTCCACAGCTTTCTACTCTCCACCCTCTCATAGCTCATTGTTCATTTGTCAAGCTATTTTTAGATTTGGATGTTTGGGTTTCAAACCCTTTAATGAAAATGTACATTGAGTTTGGACATTTGTTGCAGTGATATTAAAAGGGTGATGTTGGAATTGAGGAAATGAATGTGGTTTCCTGGAACATTATGTTTAAAAAATTACTGAAATATGAGATATTAAATGATGCCAAAAAGTTGTTTGATGAAATGCCAAATAGAAATGATCTCTTGAACTAGTATGATTGTATTGAAGGTTAGTCATTTGCTGAAGATGTTGATCTTTTTAAGAGGATATTGATCGATAGCATCATGCATAAGTTGAGAATATGATTTTTTTTACAAGGCATCCTATTTGATTTTTATTCTTACAAAAGGAAGATTGGATGTTGATGTTAAAAGTTGAATGTTAAGATTATCAGTGGTATATTGAAAAGATCTCTTTTTTTACTAGTATCAATGATGGGTATTCCATCTCCTAAGAGATTAAGTATTTCACAAGGCAAAATTAGCATCATGTGGTGTAGATGTAAAGGTTGTGGCATACCTATTAATATTATTACATACCTGTTAAGATTTAAGTCGTACCTATTAAGGTTATACCGTACATGTTAAGGTTCTGACATACCTGTCAAAGTTACGTGCATATCTATTAACTATATCAAGTACCTATTAAATTTATATTATAACTGTGAAGGTTATGCAATACGTGTGAAACTTATCATTAACATGTTAAGGTTATGTCATATCTATTATTTTTATGGTGTATTTGTTAAGCTTATACTATAATTGTGATGCTTATAATTATTGTGTATATTTTACTAATTTTGATTTAAGTGTTTATAACTGTAGTGTATATTTTACTTATTTTTTATTTAACTGTTAAGTTAATTTTACTAATAGTATTGTTAAGCATTTAAAAATAATTATGAACATGTCCTCCATCCCATTCCAACTTATGAGAAGTGTAGTGTACCAATAGATCGAGATATTGCCACCAATTACTACTAAAAGGAAGGAAACAAGACTATATCAAGTGTTGACTTAAAGAATTAGAGTTGGTTGTCAGTCTTAAAGCCAAGATGCTAACTATATCGGCTTGCATGTAAGACTAATCAGTATATGTTAAATATGCTTCATATATGTCAACTATATCTATATACGGCATGTGTAAACTATATCAAGTATCTGTTAGTTATATCCAGTATTTGTTAACTAAATCCAGTATCATGTTAACTATATCATGTACATGTTAAACTTTATTTGTTCCCGCTTAATATCAAGTAACTGCTAATATGCGTCTATTAACATTCATGGCTAATTCATGTATCTAACATGTATTTATTAAAGTTAACTGGTAATCTATATTGTTAACAATCAATGGGTAAACGTAACAACCAATGGGTAAACTTAACAAGAAATTGGTAGACTTAACACTCAACATTCAGAATTAACATTCATTGCATAAAATTAACAATTATGTTATAAGTATAACATCCAACGAGTAAAGTTAACATCAGTTAGATAAGATTCATAGATAATTTTTAATAGTTCACAATTAACCTGTACAATTATATGTTTGTCTAGTTTTGACATTTACATACACACAACAACACGATGAGATCTCCATGATACTTTCTTTTTATTTTCTATGTACATGCCATGTTACTATCACAGTCCAAGAAACCACATCCCTCTTTGGCATTTCATCAAACACTTTATGAGCAATCTTCGAATAGCCATATATCATATACCCTTTTAACATACTACTCTAACCAAATCTCACTCACCCATTTTAGCTAAAAATAAACTAGCAAGATCCGATAATAACATAAGAAATAAAATCACAAGTAATCCAAACATGGGATTTGTTTGAGAGAAATGACGGAGGGGAGAGGAGAGCAGGTCATAGGCAATTTTGAGCAGGTGGGTTTGTGGTGGAGGTAGCGACAACGAGAGGAGCAGAGGGAGTTTGACAAAGGAGATGATGGCCTCGGTCATCATGTGGGAGAATTTAGAGGAGGAGAGGGGGTGGTCGATGGAGGAGAAGATAGAGGCAAACTCGAAGGAAGAGATCCTGTTGTTGCCGTTGGAGTCGAACTAGTTGAGGATGTGCTCAATGTCGGTAGTGGCGAAGGGGGAGGTGGGAGAGTGAAATGGTAGGGTTAGTAATTTGCTTGAGATCGGTAATGGCGGAGAGGGAGGCAGGAGATGGAGACTGCGGGGTCGAGGGAATGAGGAGGAAGAGGGAGAGAGGCGGAGTGTTAGGGTTAAGGTTAGGAGAGAGGAGGAGAAGAAGAGAGAAGGGGGACCAACCAAGAAGGTTTGGGTTAGGAGAGAGGAGGGAGAAGCAATAAAGTTAATAATGGAATGAGGATTTAGGGTTTCCATAAAGAAAACGTCTAAAGAGAATAATATTATATCTAACATCCTTAAGAACTCTCAATAATATATCCATAATGTATCCTTCCTAATATACTATATATCCTTAACATATAATGATCTTCCAAATATTCCTTAACAAGTCCCATATTGAAAAACTATGCAATTGTATGTTATTTGTTTTCCTATAAATAAAACCAATCATTCTCTAAGATAATGTCATTTTTCCAATATAAAAATAAGGAAAATAATATCCTAAAAGAACATGAAAATGGTCCCGTAACATAAATCACAAAGCGAAGATTCAAGAGAATGCAAAACGCCATAAAAGTACCTTCCTTCCAACACTACAACTAGTATTACAAAAATACAGATCAACCAGCATTATTGTTAACAATATATTTTCTACTAGTACTCAAATCCGTCTTTTTTCTATTAGTACTCAAATCCTTTTCTTGAGGTAAAGGACACTGGTTTTATGCATCTATTAGGGAAAACTCCCTGAGAGAAGTACCCGTATAGTGACAACAAGAGCTATTTCTTCAGAGAAAAAGCTACTTACTTCTGCTTAATGAATTTGAGAAATGAGTCATAACATTAACCAATCTTTGTAAAGGTGAAAGCATGAGGCAACCTTTATAAGGCGAGGGTAAGCGTCAAGGCATGAGGAGTAAGTCTCATGAACTATTTATTTTTCTTGTTTATTACAATTTATAAATATTATAAAAAGCAAGAAAATAAAATAAATTAATGAGGTACTGTAGATAATTTTCACTCCAGGAAATTTTTAGAAGATGAATGTAGCATTTAACTCTTTCTTTTGAAGATCCGACCCTTTAGGTGTTAAACCACACATATTTTAGTTCTACTAAAAGGCCCACTTGTTCATTGGTTTATAAGAGAAAAATTCATCTAGAAGGCGCCAGACATGGCACGAGGGATATGTTCCATTTACGCCTCATTTGCCAAAGCATACATCTCATGGCCCTTTGTACCTCATATGGGCACCTAAAGGTGTTGTCATTTAAAAACCTTCAAGGCACCTTAAAATGGGTCTGCCTATTTTAACACAGATATTATTTAATAAGTTTGCTGTGTTTTGAGCAAGATAACCATTTCTTACAGAACTAGAACTTCATTATGGTACTGAAGAAAGTTCAGGTATGATATCATATCTTTCTATAATTGGAAATGTTGAATAATAGAAACTAGTATCATATATAAAAAGCAAAAAACGCCAAAAAAACCTTACATTAGCTTCTTCTGAATGCAAATTAAATTGAGGCTGAATAACGTTAACCATGAAGTGCTGTGTCCCCTCCTCCTCAGAATCCCCAATTTCGCCAGGATCCACTATAGAAAATAAGTTGTACAAGAAGAGCTTGAGCATGAAATCATTCATGAAGGATAAAGGAAACTTCAAACATCACATGCCAAAACACACAAATGCAGATCTATGAAAAAACTTACCAGCTACAGTACTCAAGACTTCCAATTTTGAAGATGGAGAAACTATGGGGTGTGTACCCAGAGGCTCAACATTTCGAAGGGAAGGGGAACCTGTAGCATGAAATGCAGACGAAGATGGATTAACAGCATCATCATGAGAAACATCATGATGAGACAATTTTTCCTCAGCAATTTGCTGCTCTTCTAACAACTTTCTCTTTGCATACTGTCGTGAAGGAGAAGGCTTCGGAGGCTGAAACGCTTTAGAAATACCAGCAATCAAGGACCAAATAGCATCCCTATTTTCAATAGTCCACAAAAGTTTAAGGCCATAAACAAAAACTCGCTGGCAATTGTCAGCCACTACTACATTAAATCCATCATCATCATCACTAAGATAAGATTGCAAATGGTCACTCTCACTCCCCATCTCTAACTCAGATTTTGTACGGGTCATCTCAGCACTTGCCCTACCATCTTCCTGCCAAGCCAAAATTTTTGAGCCATCAGCCTTAGGTGATTGTTTTCGTATAGTGAAATAATCTGAATCTAAAAGAAAACCATCATCGCGGCATTTCTCGGTGCAACCACTTATATACTGGGATTTTTCGTTAAACTTATCTGCAGTTTGAGAACTTTTAGTTGCTTTCATATCTTGAGTTATAGAAGCAGCATTGCTTCTGTCCAAGTACACCTTCAGCATATTAAGGTCAACCCCCTGGTACACAATGTCAAGAGGGTCCCGCTTACTCTCAAAGGTAAACTTCTCTTTTCCACGACTATGACAGAGCTCCACTTTCATCTTCTTTATTTCAAATGTCAGACCACTAGCTGGATCATCATCTCCTAAAGGCATGTGCTTAATGCAAGTTGGCGTAGCTTCAATGCGAAGAAAAAATTGAGTCATAACTTTATCTAATGCTAAGTTGCCAGATCTGACAACCCTAGGAACTCCAAAACGTGGCCATCGTGAGAAAGAACGAAGCTTATGAGGAGGAAGATAAACCAAATTCCACCATTTAAACAACCAAACAAGGTAATGCACTCTCAAGTTCACTGTTGGGGAATCTGATGAGGTACTAACCAAACTTTGCGAAGCATCATGCATGGATCCATCTACTAGTGCATTTTCTTCCGCACTAGTGGACAAGAGAGGTTCAGCCTTTGCAGAGGTAAAGGGTCTTAAAGAAATATTCCACTTCAGTGAGAGAGAAGTTGAACGAAAAGGATCCAAGACCTTATCCCGTGTTTTACCTTCTCTTGGAAGTGCATGTAAGAAATGATTAAGAGGGGAACCTGAGTCACATTCCCATTCTAGAGTAACATCAACAGAAAATGCAGGAACATGAAGAAAAGGTCGAGAGTCACAGCATGGAAGCTTCAAACTACAATTCTTTACAAAACTTTCCGGACTACTTACATAAGCCTTGAATTCCTTTGTACAAAGAGATACATGACCATCTGACTGTAGGATTTCCATACAACCTGTAATAATCTGAATGTTATCAAACTTCTCATAAGGGTTGGTTGTTCCAAGCAAAATCCATTTTGTCTCAGTGAAATGTAAACCAACTTTCCCATGAATATAGTTCCTCATATCATCCCACCATGGTAAGTTGCGTTCTTTCTTAGGTGGCTGATTCGCCATTGGATTGTTACCCCTTGTTCCAAGAATAGCTCTGCGTAGAGCTACTGTAAATACATAGCTTACATCTGCAAATACTGGTTCATATCCCACTCCATAGGATACTTCAGCTCTATGGAAATATAATGGCAAATCCATATATGTTTTCATTGGTGGACTTGTACCACTTGCTGAACGTAACATGCGAACTTTCCACCATTTCCCAATAAAAACATCTTGCTCAATTTGAGGCTGGAAGAAAGTAGCCTGTAACAAGAGAATTTACTTCAAATGTAAGTGGAATATGCCAATGAAGCAACTGTAGTTGGAAAATACACATTGGACTTCCAGGCATTTGGAACACCAACGCCTTTTAAAAGGAAACATACACATCCCATAAAAACATTTTAGTCCATATGGCAGAGGATCTTGAAATAATTCTCATAATCTAGCAGAAAGAAATTTCTCATATAACATAAAGGCATACCGTTAAAGAAAATATCTCATATCTTGAATATCTAGATGGTTTTAAGTTTTTAACAAATACAAGAAAGGTCTAATAAAACAATGTTAATAAGCCGTATCATAATTTTTGGAAGTTTTGCAACAATAGTAAGATAAAGGTGAAAAATAAGGAAAATACTTAGATAAAAAGAACAGAAAAACTTACTACGTTCATAAAGCCAATCAATTCTTTTTAGGTAGACATGCTAATCAACAAGATATCTAGCTATGATGTCCTTAAAATCAAAGAAAACTGATCTTTCCAGAGATAATTGATGACTAACTGATGACAAACAATAACTGATGACTAACTGATGAAAAAGTAGAAATTGAAAACGAGGAAAAACAAAGATATTTGAACCTGACCTGTTGTGCAAGTACAAGACGTCCTTGACATTTACCCTCTGTTCCAGAGAAGACTGGATACATATAGTCTCTAAGTTGGACGGTCAAAGATCCAGCGTTCAAAGAAATATCTCCTCCGTACGTCCGGGAGAATGGTATCTCATTATCTAAGCTGACTGGATCCATCTTGTTTATGAACTCAACCATTCCAGCTTTACCACCTTCAATGCTGGTAAGAGTTAGATCTAAGTTGACGGCAGAAATCGTTAGAACTGAAGCTCTATTTGTGCTCGGTTTAAAACCAGACTGAAAGCCGCTCAGGCATGCTCCTGAGCCTTCTGATAACTCTAATTTCTGACATGCCTGATAATAAGACTGAAATGCCTGCTTATGGATTTCATCTTGCAGGCTTTTAATAGCTGCTGTATTGGACATGTCAATTTCAATTCCATTATGAACAAACTTCCTTTCAGTGTGTGGTTCAGTTGGTGTGGAACCTCCAGACTTCCCAATGGAAACAAACTCGTCAAGAAACCTCAATCGAACACTTAACTCAGAAATTTCACTCTTCATCAGATTGTAATGTTCATCAAGCCAGCCTTGTATGGGTTCTTCCTCCATAGCTATTGTAAATTTACGTATGATTGATCTAACAGATCCAAATTTCGTAGACTTTGTTTTGGATTTCTTTGAACTCTTTTTCATAGGAAATAAAAGAGTGGTTTTAGCAGCAGCAATAAGTTTCAAACCTCTTAATGTATCCTCTACTGCATCATCTATAGCACGTAACTGCAACCTATAGGGAAGCCAAATATGAACCGCAGGAGCCTGAATCACCCAATCCCATGTGGTCACAGACTGTACCTTTGTGTCATTTGAAGTACTCAAAACAGATACAGGAATTCGAGAAATCTGCATTCGGTTACTTGTAAAAAGTCTGGTGTCATTAAGGTTCAGCATAACCTCTTCGATTAATACGCCTATTCTTGCATTCTCAGAGAAGATAGATTGCACACAAATTGCTACTTCCACACCATCTGCAAGCTCAGCAGAAACTGTTAACATCTCCACATCAAGGGCAATAACCGGCTCCTTTTTCTTGCAATTCTTATCAGACTTTTCCTGTTCCAACATAACTTCTTTTTCAGATTCTCTGTTTTGAGAACTCAAATCTTCGTTATCAGAAAGCTGGTTCCGTGCGTTGTGCACAACTGATTTCAAAGAGGTCATGACTTCAAATACTGCCAAATGAAAATCAGGTTCCCATCTGACTGCTATATCAGTTACTTTGACCAGAGAACAGACAGATACCTCATTGAGGCCACCAGAGCGACGCACAAACTTTGCTTTTTTCATGTCAAATAGAGTCAACTTTGCACCAGACTTATTATCTTCAGAATACTCCTGGAAGATTGATCTCACACTTTCAAGATCAATTTGAACAGAACGTTTTTCCTTGTTTAAACAAACCTTGAAATTTGATGTATCAAGAGATATGGAGAACTTTAGCTTCTTGCAACCATTAGGGGCAGTAGATGTTACGCTTGCAGTACGCTGTGTGCCATCAGCAGAAACAGTAATTATTGTTTCACCACCCTGTGAACCATAATTTACACGCTTAGGGTCTGCAACAACTATATCCGCTGCAATCACATGACCCCAATAATTAAATGAAAACTTTTCAATATTTAGCTTCACAATCTGTGTCCCTTTGGAAGTTACTTTGCTAGAACGTGCAACTTTGCTCTTTACAGCTTTTTTCCCTGAACCAACTAAACTTTTTAACAGTGCCTTAAAGGAAAGCAAGGTCGAAGTAACAGATGCAACATGGTGAAAACCAATACACACTCCCACTCCAGTTACATCAACATCAAACATTAATTTCCAGTTATTAGGACCTTGTTCCTCATGGGATTCTACTTCTCGATGTCCAAAATTGAGAATAAGCCCTTCAATGTGCATTAATGAGCTTGAGTTGATTTCCACAGGGAACAAACTCTCTCTTAAACTTTCTTGATAATAATCAGCCATGTGCAAACGGATTTCACCAAGTTCAGCATGTACATGAATGCCCTTACTTGCTACATTATTTGTGAACAGATGAGATGATTGTGAGCAGACCTGCATTATCAAGAATGTGGTCATAGAATAATCTACTAAGACCACCATAATCCTTTCCACCTCTGTTTTCTGTGTATAAAAACCTTCAAAAGATTAAACATGAGAAATTAACATTACTTGACTTGTTTGTGAGCAAATGTAATAGTTATTACTTAATACTTCAAGTTTATGTATTTTCTTTTTGTTCGGTATAAAATAGTTTCAGTATATGTTTAAGAATTAAGAACAAAACAAATAAGAAAATATTTTAATTAAATTACTTAAATCAATAAAAGCTACACAATTTACTTACAGGTATCACAATAGAATATTCAACTATATAATCATAAATTTACATCTCGTTCATAATTTCAGATTCATTTTATTAGTAGCATTTATAATTTCACAATCACATAATGATATCACCAAAATAGCCCATGAAGGTTTAACAAACAATCCAAAAGTAAGCACTTAAAATGTCAAGTTTAAAGAAAGGAAAACTCTCAGGTCTCTCTAATAAATTATAAGTTATATTTGAAGTAAGATTGTTATATTGCAATAAAGCAGAGTTATGATTTGTCTGAGTTATTTCAAAAGGTTATGTGAATGTGATACTTAAGGTCTGTTAGGTTATATAACACAACATAATGAATTATGTGTAACGGGTTTTTCCCAACGATGATATTTATGTATGTATGTGTATATGCGTACTGTGTGCACATATAATTTAATGTATGTATATCTCACCAAACCATTATATGGCGCAGAGAGAACAATCCCTTAACATTAAGAAAAATCATTATGTAAGTGTTTGTGAGTGTAAAATAATGGGTTATGAGGTGGCGGCTCATTGTGCAGCGTGTTAAATGAGCTACCAAGAGATAAAGAGTGGTGAAAGGTGAGACACCCATTTCATGTGACTAGTAGGGTGGCCTCACCACATGGTCATCTCATGGTAGACATAAGCAAAATGAGCTGCACCTCATACTCATTATTTCCTAATGCATTCATACACAAACATACATATCCTGAAAAATTAACCAAACCTTTATTGTGATATAGAACATAAAAGCAATAACATCTCAGATGGTAATAACAAGAGCTAGGTAATCAATTGTGAAACTTACATGGTATAATGGTAAGTCGTTGAGCCCGTACAGCACAATAGTGATTTCTGGAGCTGAAACAGTACATGTCCACGTGATAGTCTTGGTTTTACCCACCTGAGTCCGTTCTTTGCGTGAAGTCTCATTATGAAGTACCATATTTTTCTTTTTTGAGAAGTGAAAGCCAAGCCAGGGCTCCAGTCTGCTAACAATTAAGTTGCATTGCATTCCACCAAGCTTGACATCAATCTCAGCTCTAACTGGTTGAAGCGGCTGAGAGCAACGCAATCAGAAGCATCTCAGGTGTAACAATTGAACTCGGAGAAGGATGTCAGATAAAAATTTTATAGAAAAACATAGTTTTCTCAACAAAATAACAAATGATTTGAGCAATGAAAGTAAAAGAGTGTATTTATTCCATACATAAGGGAGAGAATGCAACATGTTTGTTTCAAACATGCGATATCAAAAGATATTATACAAACATATTTATATACCTTACTAGAGCAGCAAACGGTACAGCATATTATTTAAAGTCGTTAATTGTTTTGAATACCAAAAAAAAACATGGGGACAAAGGGATAGAAGCTGTGTACTGACTAAAAGTTTGAATCAAATATACGAGCATAGAACTGTTTAGAAGACATTTATAGGCATTACAAACACCTCCAGATAGAAAGAGATACATCATAAAGCATTCTAAAGCTGAACTAGCATTTATTAGCCAGTTCATCCACTTTAACAGCATATGACAGTCAAACCAGACAAGAAAATGTCGTGGACAAGCCATAAACTGCATATGGTCATGACACCAATGAAAACAGTCCAAAGACAAACAAACTAATCGAGAAAACAACAAACAGGGGGCAAACCCCACATACCTACATACATATACATACATTCATACATACATAAACATGGAGATAATGGGTATGAGCTGGCGGCTCATTCTGATGAATGGACTATCAAGAGATACTCATGTGACGAGGCTCATCTTGCTAGTCACATCAAAAGGTGTGGACCTCACCATTTTATCTCTTTGCAACGCATTTTGCTAAATGAGCCACAACCACATAACCATCATTTCACACACACACACAGAGAGAGAGAATATATATATGGGTATCCTTGGTACCAATGACCAATTTTGATCCTTGATAGTGAGGTGACTCATTCTCATCCACTAATCTTAAAGGAGGGGACCATTTATATGTATGTGTGTGTATAATAGAAATGGATATGCTTGATACCAAGCATAAATTTGGTGTTTGGTAGTGAGGTGGTTCATTCTCATCCACTCAAATGACAAATGGTCCTCACTTGAACCACCCTTTAATTATTCTACTCATGTGCACTCATGTGAATGTGGCCCCCCTTTAAATAAGTGGATGAGAATGGGTCATCTCGTGTGCTTGGTACTAAGCGTACCTATTATTCTATATATATAGAATAATGGGTATGCTTGGCACCAAGCACAAATTGGTGCTTGGTAGCAATGTGACTTATTCTCATCCACTTATTTAAGGGGGGCACATCCACATGGGTGCACATGGGTTGGATAATTAAATGAATGAATGAAAATGAGCCACCTCACTACCAATTATCAAATTTGGTGCTTAGTACCGAGCATAGGACTTAGGGTTCAATCTACCAAGGGTTTTACTATTAAATTTGTTTAACTTATTAAGATCTTCATCCGACAGTCATCTTTCATTTATTAAATTAAGGGTAGTTTAGGAAATTAAAAAATAGTTGGAAAGAAATGAATAAAATCAATCTCAAGCTTGCTCATAAGGATCACAGAAATATCAAAGGAGAAGTTTTGTGTTCAAACCTTCACAGCTCGTTCACATGCTAGCTTCCGACTCCGACACCGTCTTCTTTCGTTTCCACTTTAACTAAAGTGAAAACCTAGTACGGTGAATTTCAAAGGAGCTTTGGTTTTGCAGTAGAGGAGTAACGGGTGTTTTTTCTTGTGATGATAAGTCTCACTTGAAATTTGTATCATGGTGGATTTGTCATTACTTTCTCTCAAGCAAATTGTAACCTAAATGCTTCCTGTTACCAAACAAGATTCTTGCCTTGTGTTCTTTGCCATCCTGTTTGATCTAATAATTAACTAATAACAACTTGGACATGAGTAATTTTCAACCAGAAGAAAATTCATCACAATAATACAAAGAGAAATCCATGATTACCCAATTCTCTTTCTCTAATTTATGTAGACAATTGAACTTAATCCTAACATGGGAGAGAGTGAGAGAGACGCGCAAGGGAATGGAGCGGACGTACGGCAAGAAAAGAAAGAAAGAGATGCAATAGAAAAGAAGATAAGGAGGCATTTCTTTTTTAGCGACTTATTTTCTGCGAAAGAAATAATTTTCTTTTTTCCGCTTATTTTTTCCGTAAGTTAACCTACCCTCATTAAATAGATGTCACGGCATCAAATAAGATCTTGGTCAATTAAACGAATCCAATGGCTAAATATCTTGATGGACTGATGACTTAGTTAGTCCACTTAAGTTTACAAAAACTTTACTCTCTCTCTCTCTCTCTCTCTCTCTCTCTCTATATATAATCAAATAAGATCTTGGTCAATTAAACGAATCCAATGGCTAAATATCTTGATGGACTGATGACTTAGTTAGTCCACTTAAGTTTACAAAAACTTTACTCTTTTCCGCTTATTTTTTCCGTAAGTTAACCTACCCTCATTAAATAGATGTCACGGCATCAAATAAGATCTTGGTCAATTAAACGAATCCAATGGCTAAATATCTTGATGGACTGATGACTTAGTTAGTCCACTTAAGTTTACAAAAACTTTACTC